GGGCCTGGGCTTACCAGCTCTTTCTCGCCGCCTGAGCTCGGGTCGAGGTAGGCTCAGCGACCCGGAACATGAACCCGGCGCCTCCCCCGGCCGCTCCCCGGGGAGGCTGGCGCCGCTTCGCAGAGACTGGGCCGAGGGGAGACGGGGCGGGGGCCGGGAGCTGTCCCGCGGGGGCCGGAGGGGAGGACGCGGGCAGCCAGCACTGCTCCTCAGTCCCCCATGTTGAGAGCCCGGAAGCAGCTGCGGCACCGGGAGGAAGCCGGGCGCGACCATCTCAGCTCTTCCCCTCCCTGTCTGGCCCGCTGCCTAGGGGCGCCGCGTCTCCTCCAGCACTACCTGCCTTACCTCCACTTCTCTCCCGGTCCCGCTTCGCCGGGCTGCCGCTGCCGCCGTCCCCCCAGCCGTTCCCTACCGGCAGAGCTGCCGTGGCGATGGCCACCCCCGCGCCCCCGCGGAGTGGTACGGTCCCGTTGCCATGGTGGCGGCGTCGGGAGGGCGGGCAGGAGGGAGGGAGTATGGCCGCCCTGTCCCAGCTCCAGGCGAGGCTCTCGGGGCTGCGGGAAGAGTATTTCCTTAGGAACAGGTAACTAGGATGTGCCGGTGGTGTGGCGGGCTTCCTCAGCTTCCTCACGCTGGGCTGGGGCTGGCGGGGCGGACAGCCCTCAGTCTCCCCCGGCAACGAGATGGCGGCCCCCCCCGAACATTGCCGGGGCGATCTGAGCAGACACCCGGCCAAGGAGCCGGCCCTCTCCTGGGAAGCCTGAGGTGACCCCGCTCTCCTTTGGGGTAGCTCTTCCCAGAGTTTTGCTCACACTGAGCCTGTGAGGCCCTGCTGCCCTGGCTCAAATCTGGAACTTTTACTGGACTTTTAGTTTAGCCTGTTGAAAGGCACCATTTTTCATTTAAGGAAATTGACAGAAATTGACAGAGAACCTCCCTCCCCTTCTCGAGTGTGCTGATGTTTGTTATCCGGGCTGAAAATTGAGCTCTGTTTCTAAATTAGGTTATGCAGCTTTAGTTCCTGATACCCGAGACTTGTTTTGTCTTTTTCTAATAAGTTAAAGAGATGTTTACTCCACTGAAGATCCAAAATGTCCCATGTAGAGAGTCGCAGGCTGATCAATCAGATCACCTGTTTACCCTTCTGTGTGAGCCAATGCAGGCAGGATGCAGGAACAACCACAAAACCATGGATTAAGGGCAAAGAACAAATTTAATCTCAATACCTCGTGGATCAGGGACCCTCCGAAGCAGCACCTGGGCAGAGGCAGGCAAGCAGGGGATGCAGGCACCGCGGAGCGAGAGCCCTTATTAGCAAGAAAGTCCTTGTTAGTAAGGGAGTGAGGGAGCGAGAGAGCTCCCACTTGCTGTTTGGGGCTGTATTTCAAGGATTCAGGCAGGCAGAGTTTTCTGCTGGGCTTTGATCTCTTCAACAGCAGGGCAAGAATCTCAGGCATGTTTGATAAGGTGCCCCTGAGTCCATCCCAGGCCTGTGTTATCTAAGTGCAGATGTTCTACTTGTTGAGCACACAAAACTAAACAACAATTAGTGTGATAGACGTGTTTTCCAGCACCCCACATGCAAGTGACTTGAGGATATTTACAGTCCTCCTCGCCAATCTTCTGTTACTTTCCCACACTTTCTCTTCACCGTGTGGGACAGTTTGTGCTGCTGAGTTTTCTAACTTCTAAGATGGATGGTGGCCAACTTTCATCAGACCATATTTTAGGAAATAAAATGTTTTAACACCTATTTTAATATTGGATAGATTTGTCCTGTAAACCCTTCTATTCAACTGTATTGTTGCTGCTGCTGTACATGTTATGCTGATATCAAACAGAAAAAAAGCATTAAAGTTTTTTTTTTGTCTTTTCTAATTAATAAATCATTTGTTTTAGAATCCATTTACAACATCATTAACATGAATGGCAAAGCTTGCGAACATCACTAAAAGTTACACTGAGTTCAAGTCCTGACTGCATATAAAGGGTTGTGTTTTCCTGTTCTTTCCCTGAACTTCAGCTCGTACTCTTGTGGCTGTACACAAAGCAGTTCACTGAAGGAGCATCAGTTACAGCAGAATATGCTTGTATTTCACATATTTCAGGTTAGAAAGAGCAGAATGAGCCAGACATGGAAATCCATTGGAGGGCAGCATGCTTGATGTTTGGGGATTTGTTTTTTGGCAGAGCTTTCCAAAAGTGAATTGTTTCCCTTTTAAGGATAGGCTATAATCCATCAGCTTCTTGAAATTCAGATTTTCAGCTGAGAATTTAAATGAGAAGCTTCAAACAGTCCAGCTCAGCAACTGAAGAGCTGATCAGTAATCTGATCTTTGTTCTTTAGGGTGAAAACCTTGGACTACTTCAACACAACTGTCAGTAAAATCCTGAAACAAATCAGAATATCTTGTTTAGAGATTTTTTGTAGATCCTTATTTAACTTTTAAACTTAACAAATAAATTCTGGGCATTAAAGTATGTCCAGTTTGTAGTGGTCTTTGAAGTATTTTTGAAGCATTTGTATTTTGAAATCAAACAGCAGCTTTAATTTCCCTTTCAGAGCTATGCTTTTTCTACATAATGTAATAGATCTGTTGAAATTGTAAAGTCTGGATTGCTGTGAACACACGAGTCAGTGTAATCTGGGCAGTCACTCATCATTCACCAAAAGTTTGAGGGCATTCAGACAAAAATACATTATACTATAAAAATAGAGGTTGCTTACTCTATTAAGCCAGTATACTGCAGTGAAATAACAGATTGTCCAAAAAATCTGAGTTGATCTGAAGCATCAGGAGGTGCAGAAGGATATAGATTACCAAGTATTTACCCTTTTTTGTAAGAGTTGCCTTGTTTTCAAATACCTTCAATGGTAAGACCTGAAGGATTTAGTTCCATGTGTCAAACATACTTTAAGACAAAATAAAAATGTTTCTTTATTTACCTACCTAACAAGACCTAAAAGCAGAATTCTATAGAACATCTAGAACACACAGACCCTCCAGAGCAGCTTGACTTAAAGCAACCCTAGTGAAAACTAAGTACTCTTGCTAGCAATTACTGCCACAGAAGAAACAAAGTAATTGAAGTGTCTTAAAGTAAATATCCAAATTAGAAAACTTTCTTTATCTTTCAAAGTCCATTTGCTATTTTAGGACTGTACACCTGTTCCATTTAAAATTAGGGCAGGTTGATGACTGTAATATCTTGCATGTTGGTTGTGGATAGACAGGTTTAACTGATCTTAATAATGTTCTTCTGATCTTTCTAACATTCCTGTCATGCATTATGAAGAACTCTATTTATGTCAGAGGTATGAGGTCTCCTAAACTGACTTTTTAGAGTAAGCGCCTTGCTAGGAAAAGACTTGCACAATGATTGCACAAGGCAAAAATGCCATAAACCTGTACCTTGAGAAATACTGTCAGGGTAAGCATTAGAATATAGAGGCTCTGTTAGTGCATTCTCTTATTTTAGCATTAAACAATTTTATACCTAGCTATGGGATTTTTGTCATCATTCGTCCTTATTTGTCATTAAAGCATTATCCATATATTTCACCTACAATGGAAGAAGTCCATGACATGCTGACATGGATATTCAGTACGGTATGGGAATAAGAAATAAGCTCTCCCAAACTTTACATTATGTACAAGTTGTGATACTCTTTGTATTTCTATCTTTATACTAAGCAACTAATTCACATATTGTTCTACCACTATTAATGAACTATATAGAATTAAAACCTTAAAAACCTTGTGAAAGAGATCACAAACTGCGACAGGAAGACATATTTAGAAGAATTCTTTAGCTTTGCTACTAAAATACCAAGCTGACAACTATTACTGTTTTTTATATTTTCAGATCTGTAGATGAGGACAGAAAAATAAAATACAAAGCTGCTATCAAAATCCAGAGCTGGTTTCGAGGATGCAGAGTCCGAGCCTATCTGAGGTAGCATATTAAGCCCGTCTTAATCTGTATTTGAATCTTGATTTTTTTTTCCCCCAAGATTTCTTATGGTATTACTTGATTTTAATAAATTGGGAGCATTTTTAAAAAAACCCTCACCATTATTCTGCTTTTAAATAGAATGAAGTGTACGCTGTGACACTGTAAGAAACAATAATCTTTTTCAGAACTGCATGCAATTAAAATGACATGATGATAATAATTAGCATGGAAATAAATGATCTTCAGAATTGATACACAGTATTGTTTAAGAAATCTTTGCATTACTGGAAAAAAAGAAAATATCCCTCAGATATGTTGTTTGCAGAGACATTTCTTGTCTTTGCTATTGTGGCTGTTACAGAAAAATTGCCTAGTAAGTGTATGGTAACTGGACTCTTATTGTTAACAATTAAGTTCTACTGCTGGATTTGACCAGGTTATTTAATAAAAATCTTTCTTTACATAATTTTCTCCATTTATAAAAGGGAGATCATGTACAATTGTTATGTTCTGTAAAATGCCATAGCAACATTGACATAAATTTTTTTGACACACTATGGTTTCCAAAAGGAGGCCCTTCCAGATATCTGTGGTTTTGTAAAAAATTTAAAAATTGTAAAGCTGTGAAAATGCTGCATGTGACTGAAAAAAACTCTGTACTGCTGAGATATGTTCGTTAAAACAACCTATGAAAATACAGTCACCTATCATACAAATTACATTTGTAAGGCTATTTCATTAAACATCTGTAATGATAACTGAAATAGTATATAAGTAAGTTTGCAGTAACCCGTTTTTTTCAAATGCAAAATATGTGTGTATGTATAAATCTATGTCTATATTGATTTATAAGTGTGTATGTATATATATATACACACATGTATATGTATAAAGTATGTTTGCAGTGGCATTCTGTTTGGAATAAGTATGGATAATACACTACATATTATTTTTAATACCAGGAAAAAATTATGTGATATTGTAAAGTCTCAAAATAATAATAATTTTGTTAATATATTTCATTTTAGATATCTGAACAAAAACGTGATTTTTATACAGAAGTGGTGGAGAGGTTATCAAAGCCGAAGAGACTTCAGAAAAATGGTGGAGGTAGAAAACCAGTTTTAAAAATTTTGTTTGGTTATTTATAGAACACATGCAAATTAATTCATTCACTTGTTGAAACTAAAAAGCTGAAACTTGATCCTTTATACACACAGACATGTACTTTACTATCATGAAAAGCACCATTAATTTCAGTAAACCTACTCATAATGGTCAAGTTAAGTCAGTGTTTAAGTGTCTGCAGCTCTGGAGTATTAGTCCCTAAACCAGCAATGAGATCTGCTCATGCAGAAGCCTGCCCGCATGGTGCTAATTGCAGGATTGGAGCTCTTCAGAGTAGTTTTTTTTTTCCTGGCAGAACTTTTAATTCTGAAAATAAAATAAGCCAATGTGTCTACATGTTGCTGTTCTATGTTTTAGTGGTTTAAATTTCTTACTTAATGAACCTTGAAGTACTTGAGGTTTTGCCTTAAGGCACACGGCTGATCACAGTCAATCTAATTCCCCTGACAGACTTGAAGACAGCAAAAGTGTATGCTAGCACACAAGCTAAAACCTCTGTTAACAGGTTTAGGAGATTAAGAAGAAACTAATTTTCCTTTAGCATAAAACAATTAAGTTTTTAATATGTAGCTCACTATTCTAATTTATCAATTTGTGATTTGTGTTAATATTTTACAACAGATTTTAACTTGCTAGTCATTTATTCTTGATTAATTTTGTTCAGGTTAAATTGTTGTGTTTCAGTCAAAACAGACAAGTCAAGAAAAAGCAAAAAAATGAGCCATCATAACTGATATATTACAAGCTAAAGTCCTAAGTGCCTCCTGCTGAACTATGTTTTCAAGTAGCAGGACTTGTGTTCCAGAAAGCTTGTCTATTGTTCCCCAAATTCTATCCATGATGTAATTAAAGATTTTATCTCTTGCAATTTACCTGACTCAACTAATAAATTATGAATCATCCTTTCAGACTATAGCTTTCATTCTATCTTCTAAAACACTAATTTTCGAATACAAGGCAGATAGCTGCATGGTTGGATTGGGTTCTGCTTTGAAAAAAGTGGGTCTTCAGTTGAATATTGTCCCTGAGTTTAGGGAAGGTTTGTTTAATCTAGAAAAGCTTCTTTAGAAGAAGAAGGATGTGATAATGTTAATGTATGTTAAAATTTGTTAATGAAAAGAAAGGATCTGTGAAGCTACTGGGAAAAGGGAAGGAAGAAATCAATTTCATGTGAGACATTGACACGTACTGCCAAAAGATGTTGTGGAATTCCCTCTACTGCAAGTTTTTAAAATGAGGATAGACAGATGCTTATGGGCGTCTTAGGTATGCATTGGGCAATGTTTAGGTGAAGTCATCTCATGACGTCCCCTCAAGTTCTACATTTTTTCACAGTTAAAACATAGTAGAGTGTTGAATTTCACTTCAGAAACAAGGCAATTTATGTGTTTCTGTGTTTTTCAAGATGAGAATAAGAAGCATGTCAGTTTTTGGCATCTGATCATTAGGTCTTTAAGAGGGCTTAAGTAGGACAAAGGTCTGTTGGTGGCCAGTTTACATATTTTTCAATCCCCTCAAATTGTAAGAAGCTATCTTTTGGCCACTCCATGTTGAAATGCTAATTTCTTTGTTGATAATAATCAGTTTCCTATCTTCATAGAATCATAGAATGGTTCAGGTTGGAAAGGACCTCAAAGATCATCCAGTTCCAACCCCCCTGCCGTGAGCAGGGACACCTCCCACCAGACCATGTTGCTCAAAGCCCCATCCAGCCTGGTCTTGAACACCTCCAAGGATGGACCATCCACAGCTTCTCTGGGCAGCCTGTTCCAGTGCTTCACCACCCTTACAGTAAAGAATTTCTTTCTAGTATCTAATCTAAATCTCCCCTCTTTCAGCTTATAACCATTCCTCCGAGTCCGTATTTTTGAGACTTATTTTTATATATAAAGGTTGTAAAAACAGTGGTGTCCAGATAAGACACAAAATGAATGCATCATTACCGTGCCTACCATCCATTGCGCTGTTCTGAGTGGTACCCTGTAGGTGAGAAGGCAAGGTAATTCTTCCCATAGAGCCAGCCTGCAACTGCACTTGGATTTGGTGCCCAGTGACAGGATGAGGCAGCAGGCACAAGCTGAAATATAGGAAATTCCCTTCAAAGATAAACGAGAGCTTTATTCACTGTGAGGGTGATCAAATACTGGCATGGGTTGCCCAGAGAGTGCAAGCTGTTATTGTAGAGTCTCCATCCTTGGAGATACTCAAAACCCAATTGAATGAAGCCCTGCACAACTTGCTCTAATTGACCTTGCTTTGAGCAATGATTTGGAGCTTCAGAGATTCCTGCCAACCTCAATTGTTCTATGTGCCTATGAAGTTGGAGATCTTTTATCTCATCTCTTTATTAATTCTTTCTTCTTTTGCCCTCTCTTCTTAAAAAACACTCTGACTCTTACATTTTAAGATAGAATCTTTCAAATTAGTACAGATTTTCTGTAATAACCAAGCTGAGATGGCTAGCATCCTAAAGCCCCCTCAGCTTTCCATTTTTGACACATACTTCTGAAAATAAAAATAAAAAATACTTTAACCAATAAAACCAGGTTCATGTGTAGTTTTTCAAATAGACCGAACTGGAAAGCTCTTGGCAAATCTGAGTTCTGTGGAATAATTTAGGACAAAAAATTGTGCAAGACCACACTTAATACACACATTCTAAATCAGATCATGAATTCATGCAGTTTCTGGATACTGGCACTTACCCAGTATTAGTCAGGACCCTAGAGAAACAGAATCTTTTCAGCAAGCTTACAGCAATCAGCATAGAAAACCACGTTTTTACCTCAAATGTTTCATTTTATGCTTGCCATATCTTTGATTGGAGAGGACTCAATAGGACAACTTGATTGGAAGCTATCCTGAAAGCCATACAAGTAGCAGATAAAAAGGCACTTTTTTTCTCCCTTTAGACCCCTATAGTCAATATTGTGTGTTTTAGGGTGGACTTAAATATAAAGTTCAAGTTCATTCCCTATATTTATTGCTATACTATCTTGACTCAGTCAATGGCTGAATTTGGACTATTTTAAAAAGAAACAAAAATCTTCTCAGAAGCTTGATCCAACTTTTAGTTAAAGGATCTGTTAATGTTTGCATTGAACTCTTGCTAATAATTGTTGTAATGACTCCTGATTATGAAACACGATACGTTTGACATGATACTTCCTTAAATTAAAAAAAAAAGGTCACTTTAAAATTTGTCCACTGATAATGATTGGATTGGTATCTGCTGCCAGCAAACAAGGCAAAGCATATGCACAAAATACCCATGATTACTTGATAATAAATCATTTTAATGATTATATTCAAAATTGTGAAATGTGAGTGGTACTGATGCGGAAAATAACGAAGGCTGAGGCTCATCAGATTGCCTGTCCATATGTGCATCACTACGAGTATTTCATTTGTTACTCATCTAGTGTCTCTTCCTTTGATTGTGAAAATACATTAAGTTAAAAAAAAACCCTATTGATAGTGTTTATATGACTAAAGTTATGTGCCTTTCTATATTCTAAATATAGAAGCCTTGGTATAAAGCTTTGTTTTCTAATATTAATCTCAAGCTAAAATTAAGAACTGTGCTCCTATGGTTTTCTTAATACCTTATTTATATTTGTTGTTTTGGATTCTGAAAGTCTTGCATGACCTATGAGAAAGTCTGAATTTTAAATCCAGGCAAACACTGGAACATGAGCCAACATATATGTCACTGTTTCTTTTTACAATATTTCTCAAAGTCAAGAAATCACTTATTAAAGGAAAGGGAATTTTAACATTTCATTGTTATATAAAGCTGGCATGCATGATGGCCACATTTTCAGCTCACTTTGGAAGGAGATGCAGTTGAAAAAAGTGAATATATTACATGATGTGGTTTGACATCACCATAAATTGCAACCAGTTTTAAGTAGTCCAGTCTAATAGGAATTAAGCAAATGCCTATTTGCTCTCACTGTAAAAAAACGTGCCTGTTCCCAACTTAGGGCATGTGTTGGTTCCTTCTCTCAGTCTACTCTTAATCAAATTTCTGGTTCTCCTTTGAATTTGTCACTTTGTATTAACTGCTTAAAGAAAAAGAAAACACCAGTCAGCACCGGATCACATTTTTAGGTGATCCTGAAACATGTTTTTAAACAGAAAAGGAGAAAGTAGTACAACAGTTTATACACAAAAAGCTTCAAATGTATCTTGGAATCATGGACTTAAACTAGTACAGAGACCTGTAAATTAACATCAGAGATGGACACAAAGACTTCGTGGTTCAGAAGTGGAGGTGGTGCATGTGGGTGAGATGGCAAGATAATTCTTTCCAGAGAGTCAACCTTGCAATGTCACCTTGGAATTAGCACACAGTGAAAGAATGAGAGGCACAAGCTGAAATGCAGGAAATTCCACTTAAGCTAAGAAAGGAGTCTTCTCTCCAGAAAGGCTCCAGCTCAGGAAAGAGTCCTTAGTTTACTAGGAAAGCACATAAATGTAGACTTGGGTTGAAGCACTAAATTATGGCTATGCTTCTGTGAATAGGAATGAACACATTCTCCATCACTTGTAATAGTGGAACTAGTACTTACTATTCCAATCAGGATTAGAAAAGAGATCCATTTGCAAAAGAACCTGGATGGTGACACTAGCTTTTAGCAGAAGGATAAGGTTATAAGACAATTATATCATAGAATCATAGAATGGTTTAGGTTGGAAGGAATCTTAAAGATCATCTAGTTTCAACTTTGAGCCATTCTGCATTTGGATTGACTTGTGATAGATAGTGGTAGGGTAAGGCCTGGATTTCTCACACCTAAGTGAGGTATGCAAGTTAGGACCTTAATTACCATTCACTATCTCTGTAAATAGCAGACAGATGCAATTGCAGAGTCCTTCAATACGTTGCCAAGCTCACAGGGAAAGTGGTCCCACTGTCTTTCAGTATTAATGATATAAAGATCATAACAATGTTAAGTCTCCAATTTAGGTTCTCCAATGAAATGGAACGGGTTCAGACCTAAGTGCTCACAGCCTTCAAACATGATAAGAATAAAATAAAGGTGTGAGATTGTTTATTTAATCACTGATGGACAGAAATCTGAGGATAATTTTTAAGTTTAGGAATTTCCATAAGAAGTGTACTTTATGTATTTGGTGGTGCGGTAGAGAGAGAGAATGTAAGAGAACTTACATTCTTTTCCAAAGAAAGAAAAATGAGCTGCAAAGCAAAATGGTATCATTTTAATCATAGAATCATTCAGGTTGGATCATCGAGTCCAACCATCAACCCTACACTACAAAGTTCTCCCCTACACCCTATCCCCCAACACCATATCTAAACAACCCTTAAATACATTCAGGGATGGTGACTCAACCACCTCCCTGGGCAGCCTATTCCAGTGTCTGACCACCCTTTTTGTGAAGAATTTTTTCCCAATGTCCAGTCTAAACCTACCCTGTTGCATCTTGAAGCCATTCCTTCTTGTTCTATCACTAAATCCCTTTGAGAAGAGACCAGCACCAACCTCTCTACAATGTCCTTTCAATCAGTTGCAGAGAGTGTTGAGGTCCCCCCTCAACCTCCTCTTCCTCAAACTAAACAGTCCCAGCTCCTTCAATCACTCTTCATAAGATTTATTCTCCAGAATAATTGAACAGTTTAGGAATGTACTGCCAACAATTATTTCACTCCAGTAGTAGTTATCTGCGGTTAGTATCACTCAGAAAACATTTATGGAGACAAAAGGAGAGACAGAGTCCACTATCAATTCTAATTCATACCTTTGGGGCAGAGATTCTCTCAAATATATATATGTATACGTGTGTGTGTATGTATACATCTACATATATATGTGAAACTTTTTTGAAATTTAGCAGTCCTGCATTTTTCTTTCATATAAGAAATATCTTTTCTACTGTTTCCATTATTAGTGGACTGGTGTGATATTAAAGTGAGCATTTAAAATGCACCTTAATTAAACTGCAGGAATTATGCCTTGGTTAATGTAATGAAGAAAGAGAATTTAAAATGAAGTAGCATCATTGTGTTCATTTGTAAATAACATATTGCAGCCAACTGTTTCTTAATTGCCCAGACTGTTGATAAATAATCCAGTCCTGCTGCTCTCCACAGACAATTTGCTTTGGATCAGACTAGGCAATTCAAATAACACTAATTACAGTGAAACCCTTTTATAGTGAATTCCTGTTTGCCATGGGGGAGAAAATCACTATATCAGGGGAAAGCACTTTTGCCTTTGATTTGTGTCTAAAACATGAGAAACACATAAAAGCTGCATGTTGTGCTAAATAAAGGACATACTCTTGCATTCAAAGTACTTATATTTTACTTTTTATGATACAATTGTGAATTATGTTCATTTTGCATTTGTAATTAGAGGGCGGAACAGATGTGAAAGCTTAGTTTAAAGTGATGTATCCATTAAAATAACCTATGCTGCCAAGTGATTGCTTAGTATAATAGGGGATTCATTCACTATGAGAGGAATTCTACTTTCTGGAAGGAAACCAGGACTTCAGGAAATGTTTTCTATATCAGGGGATTCACTGTAACATGGTATCATTGTATTTATGATTTTATGATGTTAAAATGAATATTAAATGAAACAAAATTCCCAAGGATTACTTGGGAGGCAGCTAAGTACATAACATTTAGTACAGATGGTTGGAAGGCACAATTTTGCTCCATCACCGCATCCGTATCCTTGAACGATTTCGACTGAAGACAGCATTTCTTTGAATTTTTCATTAAACCAGACGTCTTGAAATATGAATTCCTTTTATGTTTCTGTGAGTTTTGGCTAAAAGAACCCCAGTGAATAAATCATACAATACTACGTGTCACCAGCACTTGTGAATATTTCTGCTTTGTTATTCTACTCTCAGTAGAGCACCATTGATTATCAAACTCAGCGGAGAGCATTTTATGATCATATATCTCCATTAGCTCCTAGTTTGACTACCATAGATTTTTCTGGTTAAGCCTGCATTATGTATTAGGAAGCCTATCTCTTCAATACAAAGTTTGATTTTATTCTCTCTAAGCCTAGAACTCTTATTATGTATTATGTATAAAGATTCTTATCTTTTATATGTAAAAATAGGGGCACTGTCTTTGTGTAACTGAAATATATGCCATCTTTTTTTTTCCTTGATTCACAGACAGCATATTTTATTATGAAGATGAATTTCTACAATGAAATGGCTGTCAGGGTAAATATTTCTTCACTTGTTAAACAAATGAAAAGTCAATTGTGCTCCGAATTTGCTTTTAATACAATGAGCAAACCAGAATAATATACACTTGATTGATATGCTGATGGCAACAGCGGGAAATAGTACATAGTTAAAAATTAAAGTTACACTCAGTGGTCTGTGTTGTATTTGAAAACTGCAGCTGAATGTAAGGGATCTGCATGTGTCTTGCCCAATTTAAATGTTCATTGTACCTTATCATACACCATACTGATAAAACTCCCAAACATTCTATCTGTGAGTATTCTTAAAAATATAGACATATATTTGCAATTCTGACAAACTATAGGGCTTTTATATTTATTGATGTGACTGTGTTTTTCCTTTTGTTAGTGCATATCATTTGATGTGTTGAATCTCAAAAGAGTTACTCAGAGAGCACAGGACAATTTCATTGCCTAAATATAGAGGTGGAACTACACTGATCTCATTGATGATATTATGAGTGAATTTTGGTAGATGAAGGAGAGTATAAACAGTCCTTGCACTGTAATAAATATACAACAAATTAAGTTTGTTATAGGGAAAACAGAAAAATATATTTAATTAGAAATTAGCAATTTTTTCCTAAATGTTGGAACTGCACTTTAGCCAATATGTAAAACAAACATGGGAAGGACATGAGATAAATCTTGGGATGAAATCTTTATCTTACCTCATTATTTTCTTTTATGGAATAAACCTGCATTACTTTAGAAGCCTGAATCTTTTTAGGCAAGGCATCTTACCAAATGAATTCTACCAAATGTAGGAATGTGGTGGGGATGGAGAGTAACCCATGGAAACTCATGTCGAGTGGAAGATTCTCAGAATAGATTTTAATTTTGTGACCCTTCTGTTTCCAGAATAACTCAGACTCAAGAGAAGTGTTCCCATCAGGTTTTTAAGTTAGTGCTGATTGTCTCAAAGGTACAAAATAGAATGTTACATTTGGTGCATTTTAGAGAGCTGAAGGTGTTTAACAGCAATCTAATTCCTCAAAAAAATCGCTTTTTGGGGGGTTTAGTTTATTCCTTAGTTATCTAGTTTGAAAGTGTGTCACACTGGATAAACATATACTCACGCAGCTGAAGTCAGTGAGAGAACACAATATGTAAGCCAGCTTTTAAAAGTTGGCTGTGTACTTTTAGAAGGCATTTGAAGACCAAATTTCAGAGGTAATTATGTATTCTGGTCAAATGGAGTTTTGCATTTGGTCTTTCATTTTTAAAAGAAAATGAATGTGTTCCCATTCATTTGTAATGGAAATATAATGTTGAATCATTAGGTGATATAAATCTTCAAAGTACCATTTTTTCAGTCATGTCTTTTTCTTTAATGGAAAATTAAATCAGTACAAAACAATAGAGCAGATCTTTATTTAGTTGCAAATGTCAGCATCCGATTCTCCTCTGTCTAAATCTTCTGCAGCCGTATCTGCAGAGCAGATTTAAAATGCTACTATTCTGAAACACTGAATGGGTTGGGGTTTTTTTGCTGTTATCTGTTTTTTGAAGAGCTAACTAAGGTCCAGAATAACAGAGAATAAGTCCTGTTGAGTTTCTTGACAAAAGATACGTGGCCAGACTTTACGTTTCCTATGCCAACAGTGCCTCATATTCACACATTGTGAGCTTGATTCATGATTAATATACTTCAGTGTTCTGAAAATATAACAATAAATGCATACATTTTTCTATCTAATCACTTAGTTTTACCTCATAGTATTATTAAATTACTTATTTCAGTTTATAGTCACTGATTAGAAATGCACTTTTGATTTGGGGAAGTGAAGTATCATTGAGGGTGAACCCATGCTCATAGTTTTGAAATCAGTCTACATCTCTGTCTCTCTGGGTTGCATTTAGTTGTAACCAGAACTATCAGTTTCACCTTTTTAAATTAAATCAGAGAACTTGTTTTAATCAATTTCAGTTTTGAGTACTAGGTCAGAATATGATTCTCTCTCTTAAAAGATTTAAGGTTGCTATAAATTTCCAGTAACAAAAGTAATCCTATGAAAAAGAATATTTCCATGAGCAGATGGCTTTTGATATATCAAGGATTTGCCATTTGTTTTAGTACTTAAAATAAACATTATTTATAAGACCACTTACATTTTGATGTTACTTAATGAGGAATATGCATCATTGATTTGACTAGCTTAAGAGGTCATTTAGAACTTGCCCGTTAACAAGCTGTAATCTGCTGAGCACACAATGACTTTGTTTAAAATTATCTGTTCAGTGCTGATCAATGACAATAATTGTTTTGTACCAATCACTGTTGAAACTTGCTAATTACTTTGAAGGGCATACACACTTGTCTCTTTTTTTTCCAAGAATTTTTTAAACATTCACCTTGGAATTAAAAAAGAATATAGTTGTAATACGTTATACTTCCTTATACAAACAAATATTTAGAACTTTCACACTGAAAATATCAACATCATCAGAAACTATGTGTAAAATGTTGTTTTCCAAAAAGATTAGTGTTCAGTTTCGTGATCTCTGATGTACAGGAATCTAGCATAAAATAATTTAAGACATAATGCAGTTTTTCTTATGTTTAATTCAACTGAAATCAGTGAGGTCATTCTGAATAGAAAGTGGTGTAAATAAAGGTAGAATGCAGCATTTAATTGGTACACTGAGCCCACTGGAGATAATTATAGCTTTATACAATTTGAGTCTTTTGTCTTTTGGTTCGAGTTTTGATCCTTTAACCCAGAAATACCCAGTTCTGCATTTATAAATGTGAGGTGAAGACTGTCAGAAGGAGTTTCAAAGGGACCATAATCCTGCATTAATGAGCACATAGCTATATGGGAGCCAAGTTGCTCTTGTTGAGACATTTTGAAGCCAAACAGAAAAACAAAGCTAAGATCCTTATTCACATGCAAAGGATTTTGCTTAATCCCAGATCTCTGAAGGCATACTCATTCTTTGCTCTTTCTCTATCCCTTTTTAACCCAATAAGCTTGTGTATGAGAAAGTGGAGTTGCAAAGAGTATGAAATTTACTATCACCTAGCGAAAAGAAGTATTTCTAGTTCTTAACCTTTCTTGTTCGCATGTTCAGCTGCTCACATAACTATTATTTATTCATATTCTAACAATGTCAAAAGGTCCAAACTCTTATTATTCAAAAAAACCCAAACAAACAACACCCATAGGTAAAAGAAAATACCAACTTTTTAATTAGTTCTGAGTCTTATTTGAGAAGAGAGTAAAAGTACATGGTGATGCACAAGGGGGAAATAGGATAGTGTACTAACACTAAAAGTAGATATCCTCTTTTTCCTAATAGCTTTAGTGCATCATTTTATTGTCTTGGTGACACATTACCTACACTTTCTGAAAGCTTTCCTGTGATACTTATGTTAAATCTCACATAAAGAGATAATCACAACTGTACCACAAGGTGCCATCAGTTAAGAATGAATGTCTGTTTTTAAAGAATAGTGTTTTGGCTTTTGTGGTTGCAAAATAGTACCAAAGACAAAAAAATGAAAATATGCAATCCTGCCTTAGTCTGCTTATAGATTGTTCCAGTGTGTTACTGTTTACAGCTCAGGAAATGGCACGAGATGGAAAATTGCAATAACCTTATCATGTTGATACAGAGTTGGACCACAATGGAACTGGAAGGAGTAGAGAGAATTTTGCCTATTACTGAAGAGCACTTCCAAGACTTGATGATGCAGGCTGTGAAGTCACTGAGTGCAAAGGTTGAGTGACAGTCTGAGCAGTGGGCAGATTTTTTTCCCTTGCATTCTTCCTGAATCAAACACAACATAACATGACACCCTTTTTTCCTTTTTTTTCACATGCTTCTTTGGAATAAATGATAGGGTAAGAAAAAAAACCTGATGCAAATACATGGATTGCACTCCATTTACCAAGTCATACCTTGGTTCTGGCAAGAGAAGGGTTGGTGCAAAGTTAAAAAAAAGAAAAGCATTCTGTGTAGATACACTGAAGAGTTTAAGTTCTTGAAAAGTCTAGCAGCCAGAGCTCTTGTCAAATTATAGCACGCACTTAGTGAAGGTGAGTAGTTTCTCACCTTGGAGTTGCTTCTGGATGTAAGACCTCAGTCTTCTTGCTTTTTCAATGTAGATTCTGCCTTTCAGCTTTTATGTCTCTTAAGATTTCAAAGCTGTAAAGGTCAAAGAAGTGAACATTGGAGTAGGAGTGAAGGTAATGCAGACTAGAAGATAGAAATTGGGAGATTAATTTAGAAATACATTGAGAAAAAAAGGAGACAAAATGCCTGGGAGGAAGTATACAATATTTTGCAGGAAGATAAGTAAGTTCAAGCACAGAAGACTGTAAAGAAAGAGGAACTAGGCACTGAGAACAGATGAAAAGGTCATCAATCTGTTTTTTGGATGCATTGATCTAGAATACACTGACCTTTTATGGGAAAGAAAATGAGGAGTTAGGGCTGCCCTCAACACGACTGAATACAGCAAGTTACATCTTGCACATGTACACGCCATGGCATAAGGATAAATATGACTAACTAAATGGTAGTACTGATAATCTTTTACCTAATTAATACTTTCGCTTCCCACAAAACAGAAACCCAGCAAACCCGTAATGATTTCAGAAACATTATGATTAGAACTTTTAATCATCAGAGGATGTTTAAACTGTTTTGTTGAAATAAATTCTTGGGGAAAGTCAGGCTAGACCAAGTATTATTTTTCCCTTCTTTTTTATTTTTATATTAGCTGATGCTTTTTAAAATGCACCAAAATCTGAATCCTTTCTGGTGGAGGATGCTACCTAATTTCTATTCTTAATACAACTTTAGGACTATCTACAGATAAATAGGTTTCCTTTTCCATTTTAAGCTTTATCTGTTAGGCAGGGGCAATAGTATTTTGTGAGAAGATTATAATTAGTGTGCAACAAATAGACATTTGGGAATGTAGGGAATGCGTGTTGTACCTGAGAAAAGGCACTTCTGTTGTCTGATTTTTAGTGTTCTTACATAGAGCAATGCCACTTGCAGTAGCATTGCACTTCTTTTCATTGCCAGACCCGAATATACACAGTAGTTTAAAGCTCAAGATTATTTTTTTAGTGTTGCCATTTAATAATAAATTCATATCATCATTTAACTATAATATGTTACATCCTACCCTCAGTTTCTTCTCTGAAACATATTGGTGCTTCTACTTGATATCACTTTTAAGGAAACTGTATTATTTGGGAAATACAACATATATTTGATATGCATACAAACTTTTGATTTGAAGTATACTAAGCAAATTTTTATTTCCTCTAGATTCAGAAAAGATGGCGAGGCTATTATGTTCGGAAATATATCCATAATTATTATGCACTGAAGAAATACCTGGAAGCCATTTCTGTGAATAATGAGATTGTCAGGTAAAGATAAAAACCTCATGTGGTAAAGCAATCAGTTCCTTTTCTTTCATCTGTAAAATGTTTATGACTATTTAAAGTATTTCTTTCAGTGTAGGGTCCCCTCCATTATCAAATACATATATATATCAGTCATCATTCTCTTTATCCTAAGCCTGTGCATGTTATGCTGCTTTCTGTTCTCATTTACACTGTTATGAATCCATAATAATTTATTTGAATTAATTAGATGTACTCTGGGTTTATACCAATTTAATAAAACTCTAATCATAGAATCATAGAATGGTTTGGGTTGGAAGGGGCCTTAAAGATCATCTAATTCCAACCCCCCTGCCATGGATACATGTCCCACTAGACCAGGTAAAAAAATCTCTCATTACTATTAATAATAATCTCTCATTGAGATTAATTTAAATGTATTCTATGCAGAAAGTTAGATTGTAACTCAGCAAAACCAGGCTTAAAAAGTGTGCCATCCCTTCAACTGTACCTTTGTGTTCTGAAATACTTGAAATATGTTCTCTTCTTGAAAAGGTAGAATCCTAGGTAGACTAGACCAAATCCTGTACAGAAAATGAAGCCATAATTTTCTTGTCTAAATGGATATAACTGAATGAACTGCAGTGACACAACCTGCTTCTTTGTTCATAATAGTTCTATCACTCGTCTCCATTCCCTGCCTAAACCTGGAAGAAGGCTCATAACGTGTCAGTTGGATTGACCTTTGACATGTGTGAACAAAACAAGATAGCAAGTGGTATTCCCTCTGTACTGAACACAGATTGATAGGAACTTTCTATTTTATTTCTCCACATCCACAATAGATCTCTGCTGGGTACATCTAACTTTGGACAACTACAAAAATATTTGTCTTTCAGTACTTTAACAGATTCATCTAATTCCCTAGTATTTGTTCCCGGTCACTGAAAACCATAAAACCTGTGCATTGGTTAGGTATTTCAATCAAGACATATTTTTGCGCCGTATTTCTTTAACAGTTAAAGTGAGCAATATAACTTCAGGTAAAATTGTGTCAAAGTTGGTCTGTGTGATCTCTTACGTGGCAACTGATATATTGATATTCTGCTAACTTGAGTTCTGTCTTCCAGAGATCACAGAAATATATGTCTTTCGGGTTAAAAAATACATCATTCAAATTAAAAACAAGTTAAAAATGAATTTTTGAGAAAATTTGGATCATATCATTTCAGTTTTAAAAAGGCATCTGTTCTCAAGTGCACTTGAAAATGAAGAGGTATATTATCTTCAACATTCTTTTTATGAAATCTAACAGATGTTTAGTGAAGACCAAGTATAAGCCCTCAGCTAAACAGATTTTTCCTGTTGGCTAAGTTGCTGCAAACTACTTTGGCTCCAAGGTGGCCCACTGTGTTTCATATAAGGAATAGTGAACAAGGCAGAGGAGAGAGTCTCTGCATATTTTCATCAGCCATCACATCAAATGCGGAAGAGTATAACCTCATTGTTGGTAAACATTTTAGTGTATATAAAAATGCTGCAAGTACTCATTGTAAAAAACACCAGGAACTGTCTGAAATTGAAGGACTGCTTTTATGAAATGGCTGGGTTTTATTCCAGCATCTGCATTATGGAAATTTACACTAATACACTTGTGCACTCAGATTAGGCTGTCTTTGAGTGTTTCACATCTCTAGAACACCACAAAACAACATGATACATGAAGTAGTGTTTTTTTTATTTGTCTTACATCTGTATTCATCAGAACATATGCCTTAGTGCAGTGTAAGGGCTAGTAAAAAAACAAGTTCCTCCTCAAATAGCAGTAGAAACTCAGTAAAACAGAGACTGATTTTAAGAACTCCAGAGTGGTATAACTCCCCACCCCAAAAAAAGCCTAAGACCACCCAACAAAATGCACACTAGAAGTTTATAATCTCAAAAGTTTGTTTGAACTGTGTTCCTTCTGGAATTATGATGTAATTCTAAACTGAACTACAATATATAGTTCTCAAGCTTCTTGGATACTGCTGACAGAATTTTTATTTGTCAGCAACTATCTGAAATCACATTGCAAGTCCTTCTGAGATAAGTTTTTACCTCTTGGTCAGAACCAGGGGCTGTGCCTAATTTTCTCTTCTTCATTAAGGAGGAGCCTGTATCAAATTACAACTGGTTTCTAAGAGAAACTTCAGAGGAAGTTGCCATGAAACTTTGACCATTCTATTAGTTTCTTAAAAGAGTATCTTTTCAGAGTTATTGAACAAAGTTTGTTTCCTTCTTTTTACTCCTTCACACTTGTTTTTTTTAAAAATACAAGACACTCCCCTCACTAAGGGGTTTTCTCAACTAGTAGCCATATCTTTACCATTCAGCTTTAATACAAGGCATCCTTATTTAATAGCTGCCCTCATTTAGTAGCCAGACCTTTATCATTTGTCTTTACGTAGAAAACCCCAGGAGAAAGTAAACTTAATAGAAGCTGCCCCAGTTTAAAGCCATAGAGGGATGTAATTCAGTTTAACAGAAATTGATTTAACAGAAATTGACCTAAAATATAATTAAATAATAATAGTCATATTATGTGTGAGTTTGTACTCACTTAACAGACTGCTTATCCTAACTTAAGGCAGTGTTTTTGTATGAACTGAAGAGAACTGTCGGCTTTAGATCCCAGACTAGCTGAAGAGTGGGTGGGTTTTCCTTCAGCATTTCCATTACTTCCCACTGCTACAGAACCAACTGTGTGATGGCTGCTGATGTCCTCAGTAGAGTCCCTGGTAGCTGAGTTGAGAAATAATTCAAAGAATCCCTGGACAGATGGCAAAAGAATGAATTTGAACCCTAAACTCTGTCAACATAAGGTTATTCTCAGATTTTTCTTGACATTTATATAGTTTGGCTTCAGTGTAACGGTGAAATGAGTTCATTGGTCCTGAATTCTGTTTTCCCTACGAGATTTAGTAAGTTCTAAACCAACCAGGTAGGAACCATGTTCTTAAATATTTATTTTCCAAAATTTTGCTATTTATATTTTAGTAATAAGTCTTTAACTTTAGCATCCGTTTGTATTTAAATAAATACTAACACATACTGTATTCTATCTGAATATGGATTAGTTTTGTGGTTGCATATATAAGTGCATGGATTAAAATAAATTCTATTACTTCTCAGTGAAGCTAGTGTATTTAAATTTTTAGGGAAAATACCTTGTTTTGAAACATTCTTAAAGCTGCATTTAACATCTCTAAGAGCTGGCAAAATGGTTACAAGGGGAAATATGCCAAAAGCAATTAGCATAGGCTATAACTCCATATGATGCATTAGAATTTTGTTTCATGTGAAACAATTTCCAATCCATGATAAGCAAATGGACATCACTTCACATAAATTAGCATGCTGGTGCCATTATATCAGAAGAATTTATGGATGATGTCACTTGCCCAACTGTGTGATTAACTTGCAGTTCTTTGAGTAAGGTTATCTACACACCGGCCTTTAAACTCCAGTAAAGCAACTTTGCTATATGTCAGGTGTGCAACTAGAGATAAGATTTTGGGATCTAGTGTTCCATTTACTGATGAATGGCACCATTTAAATTTTTCTTTAGGCACAGAACTCAGTAAGATAGTAGTATCAGAAAACTGGCCAAAGAACTGGCAGTGGGGTTCTTCTGTAACCAAGGAAAGTAGTTTAGCTGTCTTGGCTATTGAATAAACAGTGACTTAAAGGTATCAAACTAAGACCTGAGTCTAGGTTTAGCAAGCATCATACTGTACGTAAACACTGTTATGGTTATAAACTGTGAATTTCACACACTTACGGGATTGACACCAAATTCTCCTTTCCATTGATGTTTGCTTTAGTAGTGAAAAAGCCTTGAGAGTGGCCGTGAAGACTGTGACTTTCATCCAAGTTTGACTAGCTCTTCTATCAGCAGATTTAATATCAAAGTCATCATTAAAGCTTCTTGGTCTTCAAGAAATATAAGGGAATTAGAAAATGCAAAGGGATCAAAATCACTTCCTTGGCAATATGTCTATTCACAAATCCTTTATGCAGTCTGATTTTTTTATATTCTTAATGAACAGTGGAATACAGTATTGTTTCATGTTGCTGGTGACATAATCCAGTGTTTAGCTTTTCTGCAAATATGTCTGCACGTAATACTGAAAAGAGTAGGCGTATCTCGCTTATTCTTGATTACTAGAGCACTACTGGGGTCTATTTACTTTTAACATGACAAGTACTTTGTTTCTTAAAACTTTTGAGGTATTGCTGTTTCCCATGAAGTGGGCTTGAAATAAATAAACTGTTGTCATAGTAATATGAGAACTTGCTCAGCCTCCATCTGTCTGTGCCTTTCTGACAAAGATAAGTCCAGGTGCTGGCCATTTTCACAAGTGTCAAAGTGTTTTGAAGAATGTATATATTGTCTTATAATTCAATTAAAATGTTCCTCCTCATTGACTGCAGAAGCAATTGATTCTGTAGTCTATTTTCAATTAGTGTCAAAGCCTTTCAGACAGCTCCTTGGAATTCTTGCAACAATAAAAATCTCATTTTTGTAATGTTGTCTTTCACTTGATGTTTAATTAACTAATTTATCTTCAACCCATCTTCTCTTCCTTGTCTTCAGAGAAATCTAGAGGAAATACGTTATGCTTTTTAACCTATTTACCTGTACTTAGAATTTACTGAACGTAAACATAACCTCTCAGCTTTCTTTGGGAATCATGGAAATAGAGACAAATGCCTCTAAATACAAGACATGCTTTCTTGTGTTTAAATATTAATTTTGAGTAGTAGGGCACATGATTTGAGACATCTAAGTCTTTTCCAGAGGATTTTAGGTATAACTGCTAGATCTTGTAGAAAACTTAGAACTGTAATCCACTGATGATCCCAGAGTACTTCCATAGCTGCAAACCTGATGCTAGGATAAATAAGAGAACAAAAACGAGTTACTTGATTCTTCTCTGTGATTTGACCTAGTTTCCATTGAACAATATTAAGATGGTCTT